GGGACTGGTACCATCTTAGGCCTCAGCAGTGCAGAGGACCTTCCATCAGCCCAACTAGCTGACGACTTCCCCAGTGCTTCTCGAGCTCTTGGAAACATCTAATACTGTTGGGCCATCGCTTCCTTGAATGTCCCCCTCTCTTGGCTTTCATTCCACAGCTCTCCAAGTTTCCCTACTTCCCTCGTCACTTCTGATACTCCTTTCAGTTCTTCCTTCTTCCCAAATCTCCCTTCTCCATCATCCTTTGAACCCCACGTTTCCTTCCATGCTCTCATCCTCCAAAGGTGATTTCATTTACTCCCCGGGCTTCGGCTATCAGATACACATACATTGACAACTGTGAAACTTCTCTCTCCAGTCCAGACAAGTCTGGAACCTCAAATTCTACTGATGTTACCGACAGGCACAAAAATATGTCTAAAACTGAAATCGCCTCCTTCTGCTCCCATCATCCCCGAAATCTGCTCCTGCTTCATTCGCAATCCCTTTTCAGTGGAGCCCTTAGCCATAGCCTGGGAGGATAATTTAAGTCCCCCTGAAAAAACTATGTATAACTCTTTCCACCCTCTAAATGGATGTTGAATCTGTCCCTCCTCCTACTACCTCCTGCTACCAACATCTGTATTTTCTTACCTGAATTATTACGAAACCTCTTCACTGATTTCCAGGTCTCTAGTTTCACTCCTCTGAACCATTCCATACAGCTGACACATAGATCTTTCTAACACACAAATCACGTGATGTCCCTTCTCTGCTGGAAATCCTTCAGTGGTTCCCTACTACCTTTGGAAGAAATAGTTCTCCGTCTCTTCTGAACTCTAGACACTTTTATCCCACTTCGCGCTGGATGACTTTACTCCAGTCTCCCACAGTGGACTCATCCTTGACAAATACCCTTCCTGACTCTCGGCCTCAATCTGGGTCTCTCGCTGTGTCCCCTTCGCCGTGAAGAGCCCCATCGTCTTACCTGTGCCTAAATCAGGTATCTGAGCAGCAGCACCCTGGTGATCCCCAGACCCGTCCCCAACATCCAGCTCATCACAAATCCTTTGGACTCTTCCTACTTACACCTTCTAACCTCATCAGCTTCTCCTCCAATCCAGTATAAACAGCCCAGCCCAGGTCGCCATAATCTTTTGTCAGTAACAGCCTCCTGACTGGTCTCCTTTTTCTAACCCTGTCCTGCCTTCAAAACCTTTCTCCACACTATAGGCAGAATTATTTTTCTAAAACGTTAACATGATCGTGCTTAAAACCTTATGACGATATTCCACATCATAAGAAAAAAATAGCTTTCATGGAGCTTAGGCCCTAGTGAAGTAAGCTGAAAAATAATAAGTAGACAAGATCATAGATAACAGCAAGATCCTGGAGGGAGGGTGAGTTTGGATTCAACAGTCAGGGCCAGCCTGGGCAGAAAGCACATTTCAGCAAGGCCTGGAGGGTCAGAAGGAACCGGCCTCGAGAAAGGAGGCTGGCCCACTCGGTGCTCTTACTTACCGTCACCCTCACTGGCCCGTGGGCTTCCCAAGGGCAGCGCCTGGGATCTAGTCATCGGGTCTGATTTAAACACCAAACACACAGTCTTGGGCACTTAGAAATTCTGAACACATGTTGGATGAATGAAGGGATGCGTAAAGTTTAAATTTAAACTTAAATGTTTTGCCCATCCAATTTGAGATGAATTGTGTCCTCACATATTTTTGTATGTTTGCTGACATCAACTTGTAAAACTTCTAAGCAGACAAATTTCTAGGCAGACAAAATTCGAAATTTCTAAGCAGATAAAGGTGAATGGGATTTAGACTTTAAAGAGGAGTTTTGCTTTCCTTAAATCCTTCTAAAATATTTTAGCACAGATCCTATATAGGATATCAGAAGGGACGCATCACTTGCTTGGTAGGAAAACTGCAGGATATTTTAGCCCACCAATCATGAAAGCCGGCATCGGTCGGCAGGCTGGGCTTCAAGGCTCCCTGGCGATAATTGTTTTACTACAAACTGTTTTAATATAAACCCGGATCAACATCAGATATTCAGATTCATAAAGAAAATGCTTTCAAGTCATTATGGTTCATTTCTGCTAAGCAGGGAAAAAACAATAAAGGATTCTTTAAACTATATTACATTGCATTTAATTATCAAACTTGAAAATAAAATATTCAGGTTCATAAGCCCTTACATGCAAATTAAAAAGTTTTTTAAACAAATTTGGCAGCAAAACCTGACTTGACATGAAAGCATTTATATCTTTCATTTAATCTACTGGTGTGACTATTCATTTGTTTCACTACAGAAATAAAATGTGTTTAATTAGAGGGTGCTGCCCCTCACCCCACGGAAATATTGGGAAATATATGATATATGCAATGTTTTGTTTTTCTAAAATCTAAAAGGTTCTGATCTTCAAGCCACATCTGGACTCAAGGGTTTTGGATAAAGTATCTGTATCCTATTACGACACTCACCCAATTCTATTATCTTGAGTTATAAAACTTCCATAATGTGTGGGCTTTGAAGTACTAAGCAAAAAGTAAAGTCACAAAAACACATTAGCATGATTTGAGCATTTGGAAGTAATATAATTGAAAACTGGTTCAGAGTTTCCTTTCAGATCTGATTTAAAGTATGCATTTATGCCGCTATATTATTGCTTTTCCAATAAGTGAATCCTTCCATGAGCCAGAGATGCTTCGGAGCATGAGGAAAGTTGTATAGGTAAGCCCTTTGTATACAGCCTTAACCTAAACATTGCAATCTTTTGAGTAATTTGCCATAGCTTCTAATTTTGCAAAGTGTTTCACTGTTCTCATTTTATAACTTTTATAATTTTCTTATACTCTATGTTTTTTCTCCCCAAAGTTTCAAGAAGCAGCACCTACCAGCTGGGAGCAAGGTTCCTACTCTTTAGAGGGCACACATCCAGGGCCCAGATGCAAACCCCCTTATGTGTATTATTTCTGATTCTCTTAATCGCCCTGTAGAAGTACTTTCTCATCTTCTCATCACACAATTGAGCAAACTCAGGCTCAATTTGTCCAAGGCTGTTGAGCGACGGAGTAGAATTTGAACCCAGGGATGTCTAGCTCCAAAGTCTGTTTCTCCCAAAACAAATGGGCAAATAACTGGGCCATGCTCCGATCTCATTCTCAACTTGTGTCTCGTTGGAAGGAAGACATTGAGGCTGCTTCACTCATGGAAGGAATGACAGTATCGTTGTTTCTCTAAAAAAATGACTATGCTAATAATTTGACAGCATCATAAAATGAAGATATAGTACCTGGTTTTAAAAGATTCAACTCTAAAACCATATAAAATGTCAATCGATGCAATTTTTGTTCCAGTATTTTAAATAAATACAAGTAATCAAAATTGGGTATGCTTATCAACAAATACCACCAGATCCGATGTTCGATGTTCACCTACCTTTTAGAAGCGTCATCTATATTTATTGGAAATGTAACCATACAAGGGGAAGAGAAAGGCTTACACCACATAACAACATAGCATAAAAGGACAGAGGTGGAGATCATTAGCGATTTTAATTGTTTTAAGGCCCATTAAAATTAGAGAAATGTCAAAGCACCCACAATGTTAAGGGTTCATTACTACAGCATTTTAGAGTTTACTAGTTCATACCTTTCAATCACAGCAAGTTATTAGCAGTGAAGGGATGAACCCTCTTAAGAGGGTTTCTATTCCAACGATAGGATGTTATGGACAAGACAACCTAAGTTTAAAAAAATTAGTAGCAAGCGCTAGTTGAGTTAATCTGTTAAAGACAAACTGTGGCCTTGGGAAGCTAAATGAAAAAGCAACAGTAAAGCTTACAGAACTTAGCTCGTACAATTTGCCTTGAAGGCGGAAGATTGGTTCCCTGAAATAGCAAAGAATTATATGCTTTAGTTCAGAAAAAAAAGTTTTTAAAATAAAGTCTGTTATTACCTCTTCTCCTTTCAAAACAATGGAAAAAAAAAATCTAGAGCAGAGGTTTCGATTTGTTCAATAATTGTACCTCTGAATTAAAAAAAAAAAAACCTCTAAAGTCATCATTGTTTTGACTTGAAAAGAAATAACAATGCAAATACTCATTATCACATAAAACATAAAAGAAACAGCAAACTGTCGGAGTTAATGCAATCTCTGGAGAGCGCTATTAGTAAGAGACAGCGGGTCAGCCCAAAACACAAAAACTCAAAGGATCAGATGCTCTTGGAATTAACATATTCATTCACCAACAGGAATTTGGTGTGGCAGAGAATAAGTCCAACATCTGCCTTCTTTATGAGCTGTCCCTTCACTGTTACCAAGCTGTGCAAATGTGTGAACTAGTCAGCAGCACCAGAAAGCTCGTGCAACTACTCACCATATCGTAACCTTGAACTGACTCATGGATTTGATGTTAAACCAAACTTACAGGTCATGTAAGCAAGCAAAGTAGGACACAAGGGGTCGAATTTGGAAAGCAGAGCAAATAGCAGAAAAGTTATTTAAAATAAATCAATAGGGTTAACTGCATAATATAGCAAAAAAAAAAAATGCAATTCACTTCAAAAACTTAAAAAGCCAAAACAAAACGGAAAGCTGCATTTCCAGCACAATTTGCACATGATTAATTAGCATTTAAAAAAACGAGTCAATCAAGCGACTTAGTGCAAATCCTTTAGGGCGCGCACGCTGATTCCTTTAAACAGCTCCTACCTGGTTTCCGATTGTGTTTTTCTTGTGAACTTGGCTGCTCCTCTGCTGAGCGCTAAGGGAAGCAAAGGAGAGAGCGGCGCTGAAGAAACTCTTAAGATTTCTTTTCCGAACACGTAACAGACACGGAAATGGATACAGGCTTTAAAAACGGATCGACAACTGAAGCAGAGCTAGTATCGAACATCCAGGGTCGGTTTAATTCTGGAAGCAGAACCAACTCAGTGGTAACTCCTAGTACCGACGAGCGATTATGAACCAAAAAAATAACAGCACGAGAAAAGCTGCATTGCTCATCAATAACAATATGAGTCGATGTCCTGCAGGTATACAGAACAGTAGTACTAAAAATTAAGTTAACAGGCATTAAGTATATACCATGTTCTACGTGCTTTACAGATATTAGCGATTCTTCGTTTAATCTTAACCCTGGTAGGTAGTTACTGTTATTCTTCTCATTTTACAGATGGAGAGACTGAATCACAGAGAAGCTCAATGAATTTCCCAAAGTTACTCAGCGAACACATGGCGGCACGAAGTAGTCTGACTCCAGATATTACCCAATCTCACTGCTTTGAATTCCATTACATGGTGACAACTCCCATGGTACATTTCCAGCTTGGACCTATCTCAACTCTAGACTCATGTATTTATGACAACTCACCGTCTCCACTTGGATGTCTAATGGGCATCTCAAACTTAACAGGCCAGAACGGACCTCATAACGTCCTCCCTAAGACCTGCTCCACCCCGCCTTCCCCTTAATGCCTGGGCAATTCCATATTCCAAGTGCTTAAGCCCAAATCCTTGACATTCACACTCCATATCTGATCATCGGCAAATACTATTAATTCCACTCCTTAAAATGTTTTTAAAATTCAACACCTTTTTACCGCTCCCATTGCTACCACCTTGGTCTAAGCCGCCATTATCCCTCCTTGGATTGTTGCCAGCACTTATTTTCTGGCCTCTGCTTCCACACCAGCCCCCATAACATCTACTCTCGACGTAAAAGCCAGAGTGATCCTTTTTATTTTTTATCTTTTTATTTTTTATTATTTTTTTTAGGTGAGGCAACACTTGGTTGACCTCACAGATTGCAAGGACCTTGTCCGCTTAAAATCCCTTATTTTTTATCGTTTACGCCTACAGCGCCTAGTCTTCCTAGGTGGTCTCCCATCCAAGTACTAACCAGGCCCAACCCTGCTTAGCTTCTGAGATCAGACAGGATCGGGCTTGTTCAGGGTGGAGGAGATTTGGAATAGGGTGATCCTTTTTAAAGAGGGATCTTGTCACTCCTCTGCTCAAAACCCTCCACCCCTATGCAACAGCATTCCGGAAGCTCAGGGTGAAAGTCAAGTCCTTCACTGGTCCACAAGCCCTACTCGGCCGGCCCCACTCTGTGCTTCTGCCTCTTCTCCTCCTACTCCCCACTTCATCAAGGGAGTGGTCCAGCCACACTGATATTTCTTTTGTCCGAACCCATCCAGCATTCTCCCTTTTCGAAGCCTTTCTGCCGGCTGCTCCCCCTGCCTGGAATACGCCTCCCCCCACACATCTGCACGCGCCCGACCTCACCTCCTTCAAGTCTTCGTTCGAATGCATCTGTCCGGTGAGACCTACCACCACCACCCCGTTCAAAATTGCATCCCTTCCTTCTTCCAGGACTCTCATCCCCTGTACACTGTTCTCTATGGCATTTTTCACCTTTAAACATACTGCACAGGTTGCTGGGTTTTGTGTGTTTCTTGTCCATCTCCCTCCATCAGAATGTAAGCTCCTTGGGAGCAGGGGCTTTGTCTGTTTCATCCATTGCTCTATCCCCGGTGCCTAGAACCACCGGGCACTTTCCATGACAGAATTTCATCGACTGACTAATGCATATTTAGGATCTACCACTTGTAAGAATATGTGGAAGGAAAAAATAGATCCATTTTATAGCCAATTTCAAATATCAGTGTTAAAACAAATACTAAATCATCTTTTCTTTCCACCTAAAGAATAATCTTTGCAGCAATCGGCCAGCCCCATAAATCCAAAGATACTGTTGCTAATGACATATTTAGGTACTTGAAGTTATTCCATAAGCTAATAATAAAAAAATAATAATAAGCTGCCTCATTAGAAAACATCTTTTATCATAATTCTTATGTTTGCAGTGATAACTGAACTGAATTTTAAAAGCAATAATATTTAATATTTTATTTTAAAATGTGTTCATGGAAAATCATGTAATAAGGACTTGCAAGCTAATTTGAGCCTCTGGGCATAATTTTGGTCACAGGTACTTAACTAGTTATCTCTGTAATACTGTAAAACATTTGACATAAGTCAAAAATGTTAGGGCACCAACTATGGAAGACAGAAACGTGAATGAGGTATGGTCCTTGTAATCAGAAGCCTACAATTTATCTAATGCAAATGAGATGCATACATAAAACACAAAGAACAAAGGAAGAATAAGCCTTATAAGAATGAATATGTTGAGGATGTAATACACAATGCACGATAAAGATTCAAATAAAAGAAGGGTGTGCCGAGGGATGTGTGATCATTTCCCAAAGAAATGCTATGCAGAGTAATCGCTCTGAATGTTCAGAGACCGAAAAAAAGATTATTTTGGTCTGATAAGATCTGAGGTTTTCACAGAAAACCTGAAGAAAGGTAAAATTTTAATAGAGGAAGACAGCCAACTGCATTCCAAGAGAATGGAGTAGTATTAGCAAAGTCAGGAGGTAGAAAAATGAGGCATGCAGGAAAACTGTGGAAAGTAAAACTATTACAGCAAAATTATACAATCGTAGACTCGGGTTTGTAAACAACTTTAAAAGCCATCCAGTACAATAACTGTATGTTAGAGCCAATTATGGAGAACTTGGCCGTTACACTAGAGGCAGCAGAAAGTATTCAAAGTTTCTGAGCCAGCAAATGGCATGATCAAAGCAGTGTTTTAGTAAAAATTACCTCCCTGAAATGGGCAGTACTGACTCTGAAGCAGGAAAGACAGGAAGCAGCCAGCTTAGACCCCCTCACCGCACCCCACCCCCCCCACACACACACACACTGCTGGAGCCTTGCCCAGCCTTCAGAGTCTCATGGAGTATCATTTCCGGATTATGCCTTCTCAGAAACCACCAGTTATCTCTCCTTCCCATGAACTCCCAGAGCTCTTGGCCTGTGCCTGCACCACATGAACAGGACTGTGTGACCCGCAGGTCTCGAACTCTCCTCCTGGGTGGTCGAAGGTGTGCTGCTCTCGTCTCGATATCTCCACCTCCCTCACCACTGACACCACCTAGCAGTGCACCGGCTGAAGAGGTAGCAGGAGACAGATTCTACAGGACTTCGAAACCATACTAATGAATGTAAACTTTATTCCGAGAGCAATAGGGAATCCAGAAGGAATGAAAAAGAATAGGACGAGAGGCAGGAAGATTTGTAATAACCCAAACAAGGAAAAGAATAACTTTAGGGCACCAACTACCTACAAGACACTCTGTGGAAGATATAAACAATGACAGGAATAGAAGAATTCAAAAACTACAATAGAGGTAGAATCGAATGGGCTTGGTAAAGATGAAGGGAAACGAATATGAGGGGAACGAACGATACTCAGGTTTCTGGTTTGAGCAACTGGGAGTTACCAGCCACAGACAGTGGGAACGATGGAGGAGGTATAAAGTATAGGTTAGACGACGCGTTTATTTGGGAGTATCAGACTGAGGCTTCTCTGGAATATACGAGGAGAGGTGCCCAGTAAGTAGCCGAATATGGCACTAAGTCCAGGAAGAAGTTCTGGAATGCAGTCTAGATTTACAGGCATCAGATCAAGCTGGTAACTGAAACCACTGTGGTGAGTGACATCGGCCGGGGATAGAGCAATGAGTAAGAAAGAGGAGTCTCTGCAGACGAATGAGGAAAACCAGTCCTTAAACCCTGACCGGAGGATAAAGAGCTCCCAGAGGAAGCTGAGAGGGGGCGTCCAGGGCAGGAAGAGGAAAACCAGGAGGCGGTGGGGGGTCATCGAAGCAGAGGGACGGACTCCTTCAACGAGTGGTTTGTGACGTCCAATGAAGGACTCGGAATCGTCCAGCGGGTCACCTGTTTCGTCCTGGCCGAAACCAGGCTCGGTAGCGTGGTGCGGCAGAAGCGAGACCACAGAGGGCCGAAAAGTGAAAGGCAAGTGGAAGGAAGAACGAGTACAAACTCCAAGCCAGTCCGAAGAGGGCTCGAACGAATCGCCAGAACGAGTCCCTCGGAGGTACAGCTCCCGCGCCAACGGCAGGTGTGCCTCTCCCTCCACCGCTGTTCAGTGTCTAAAGGAGATTTGGAATTAAAAGAAACTTCAGCAGTAACCGTGATGGAGAGGACACTAGCAAAACGGCAACACGCAGACCCAGGCAGCGGGAAGGAAAGGGCCGTCCTCCATACTCCAGCGACAAAGCATCTGCAGAGCTGACTCTTTATTCCGGAGCCCTGGGGCTTGGTTAGCAGCAGCGAACAGAGTTTCCACTTTTTTTCTCTTCTAGTAGCCACCACTGTAGGTCACCACCAAGCTGTCAGTAAAGCAGGGCCGACTAATGAAAGACGATCGGCTGGATTCGTCATATTCTAGAACGGTGCTGTCCAGTATGACCGCTAATAGCCAGATGTGACCATTTAAACTAAAATTTTAATTAGAATTTAATTTTCATTTAATATGCATTTGATTTCCTGTTTTACTAGCCACAGTTCAGCTACTCGACGGTCACATGTGGCTCGAGGCTACTGTACTGAACAACGCAGATTATAAAACATTTCCGTCATCTCAGAAAGTTCTACTGGACAGCACTGCTCCAGAGGAAAGAAGCTCTCTTAGACTGTTCTGTTATTACCCCGAAAAGACTGTAAACACTTGCCACGAGTCCCCAGAGTCGGACTTGTCACACGCAGGCCCTGGCTCCGTCCAATCAGATTGAAGCCAAAGGGAGAAGGAAGCTATGTGACATCGATTCCCCTGCAGGATCACTCGTGAATTCTCAGGCTACAGAACTCGGGGGCCTATGAAAGAGGGATGACTCATCTCCTAAGATTCATTTTAAGGATGAAGAAAAAGTTCAAAATAACAGATTTGAGAATGAAAGAGAAAAGTTCAAGTCCACTGATTTTTTTAAATGGTCCTGGGAACAGTCGGATGTATAACTTATTTAAACAGGTCACACTAACGATGTCCTTGCAAGTGGCTCAACCCAGTATTTCTGTCTGGTAGGAGTCCCAGAAAGCACCCAAGCATTGAATTCCTAAATTTGCATATGAGTCAAAAGAAGGATCTGGTTATAATCTGATACCCAAGTTCTGATTCCACAAGAGAGAGAAATTCTTATGTTAGAAACTAGAGACACTATTATAATAGGACATGATTATGTATTAGGGAAAAATACAGGAAGAAAGTAAAGGAAAAGACTAAGATTGCTCTGGAATTCAGCGCCAAGGCTCACACATGCTGCCTGTCGTGACAACAGGCATTCCAGAGGATCAGGACAGAGAGATAACGGACGAACCACCCACCGAGTTTTCATGGTGCTCGTGTAACAAACTGGGATCTGCACACGGTACCATTTCAACTGTGAGAAACAGGTGTTGAGATCAGCTCGGCACACTGAAACACAGACCTTGGTCAGATGCTTGTGTCATAGACATGTCGCCCTGCAGGTCCCTGTCTGGAGCCCATTTCGCTCTTAAGCTACTGGAGAAATTTCAGTAACTCTGAAGGCAAATTCTGCCCATGAAACCAATGGAGAAAAGCACAAGAATTTGAAAATTTGCTTCCAAAGGCATTCAGCTAATAAGCTTGCCTTTCTATTCAAAGAGCAGAATTTCTGAGAGGGGGGAAGTGAATGAAGGAACAATTGAACTAGATCTTGTTTTCTCAAACAACAAAAACTATCTACAGTGTGTACAAAAAACAAAACAAAACAAAACAAAGGGTTGTGTTTGTTGTTGTTGTTTTTAACAAGGAACAATGACAAATTAAAATCCTTAAGTCGTGAGGAGAGTTGGCATTTTATTCTGTAATACCGTACTTTTAGGTTCAGAAATGATATTACAGTTGAAAGATCACGCTTTCAGAAATCAGGAAATTCCAAGGCAAGCCTACAGCAGCCCTGACATTACGCGTGGTACATATTTTACGGTCCGTGTTGAACAAAGAGCTGGAAGATGAAAAAAAAGTTCCTCATATCCAACATGGCCAAATAAATGCTATAGCAGACAGAAGAATTTTGAGATGTTCTGAACACTACTGAGAATATTCCGTTAATCTAATTTTAGCAATTTGTTTGCCTTTTTCAAAATTTTTAGAAAAGTCAACCCAGTTGGAAAAAAATATATGTATAAAACATTATATATACCACCATCCCTCAAACCGAGAGGTGGTCTCCCCTCTCTTGACAATTCTCTGAAAATCCCCATGAAACGAATGCTTATTTTCCTCAACTTGAGACTTTAATTTTGTATCTTTGGAACTTAAAAATACTTACATAATTGTCTTCAAATATGGCTTGATTTTTCTTCCTTGATGGAAACAGCATCCCTGCCAACTTTAAAATTTATAGCTACGACCATATTTTTCTAATTTTCAAAAGCACAAAAAAATAAACCACAACCCCTCAAAGTGATTTTGAAATGAACATTTCTTCATCTTCATAATTATCTCATGTCACACTGCAATGTACTCCAACCCAGCGTACGAATGGAAAGAACACCCACCTCTCATTCTCAGTGCAAAATATCACATTTGGAGATAATATCACAACTAAAAAACATTCCAGTTGCAATCGTACTCCAAGCATTATGAATTTCATAACAAAATAAAATGGTGCATCTAGTGAGCGAATTCCTCTGTGTGTCTGTGAGTGTGTCTGCGAGTATGTGTGTCTGTGTGTGTGTGTGTGTATACATATGGCACTTTTTCACTTTTACAGACTACACCGTAGTTTTCAAAAGCACTTTCAGGAAATTTCGTTAATTTGATCTTCCAACAATCCTGAAAGAAAGGGATTATTTATTATTCCACTTGATAGAGCAGTAAACTGAGCATCAGAAAGGCTAAGTGACTTGCCGAGACCCAAAGCTCATCAGTGGCAAACCCTGGAAAAATAGTCCAGACCACCGATTCCCAGACTGATCCTTTAAAAGGAAGTTTAGGTGTGCAATTTCGATTAGATGCTGAATGTGCAAAGCTGCTGGATTTCTAAAGCAGTTCAAACAATGCTTCTCTTTTCTACCCACCATCATAATGGTTCATAGTCTCGCTGCTGGAAAAATGGGGGCAGTCACCTGGACTTCGGAGACAGCGTCAAAAGGCTGCGTTTGAAAGTATTTACGTTTGCAAAATGATACGCCTTTGAAAACCCAGTTAGTAAAATACTGTCGCCCAAGTTTCTGAGGTAGAAAATATTGAAATTTACTGAGCAAAGTAAACTCTGGAACATTTATCTTTAAAAATAAAAGGGTAATCGAGGAAAAAAAATGTCTCAAGAGGAGTCTAGGGGTGAAATGTAAATTGTAGCACTGGTTACGAAACGTGTTTAAAACCTGAATCTTTCCAAACTGATTATGACTTTTTCTACGTGTCCTCAGGGCAGTGTTGTAACATCTTTTTTACTTTCAAGTTACAGTGTCAAGTTTGCTACGTCTGCTACATTTTTATAAGAACCTAACTGGCGTTTGTAATCAATAAAAATCACCATTAAAGACA